AAAAAAAAACAAAAAATAAAAAATAAAAATAAAAATAATAAAATTACCTAGAAAACCAATTCCCACCAAAGTGGTAGGAATTGGTTTACCTCAAAAAACAAGAAAATGTGGAAAACCAATTACTTGGAAAATGTTTTCTATCAAACACTCTAAAAAGTAGAAAATTGCAAAAAGTTTTTCATCTTCCATGGAAAACTTGCCCTATCAAACAAAGCCTTATTGGAGTTCACTAACGAGTATGAACATACTAACTTAACTGACCTTTCTCATTTCAGTATAAACCTCAACCCGTGCGTTCATCCCAAATCGCTATTTCAACAATAAAAATAGATTAAGAAAATTAATTTAATAAATAGAAAATATGTCCTATACACATTTTTCCCAACAATCTTCCCCTTCGACTATTCTTAGTTACGAGATTACATGTCGATTTTTTAATGTCGTGAATCAAGTGCTAACATCAATGTAGATCTAATATCCTTAGCATCAAAGCAATCAACATCAACTCACCCACAACCAACACCACATACTGAAGCACATTTTTATAATGAAGATGGCCGAAGTTACAACCACTCAAGCACGCAAACTACCATCGTGTATATCCATGTGTAAACTTTTCCTCCTAACAATATGCCACATTGCATCCACACATAAACAAGTAAAGAAAAAAAAAATCCTAAGAGTATTGATAAGTGTATTTTATACATTTATTTGTGATCTAAAATAACAATATTTGATAATTTTTGTGACAAAATATATTCTAAATTGTTACATTTTATATTATATAGGTAAAACTCATTGATTAAACGAGGAATTAAAAGAAAGAAGCGAAAATTGGTGGACGAAGTCCAAAATTTGAGGACCAAATTGTAAATATCCAATAGTTGAATCGGACCCCAAGACGATACTTTGAAAATTGTTAAAAGACAATTGGAAGCGATTAGAAATCAAAAAGGAATGGGATGTGATCAATATACTATCACAAATCAATTTTAAATTACACAAGTTATATTTCAGATTTTTAGTTGAAAGTTGATACCAATTTTTGGTATAGTAAATGTTCGAATTGGAAAAATTCTATTACTAGAAAAACTGTATCCCTTTGAGTTAGTTTTCTAACACAATTTGAATCACCTCAATCAGATATCGGAAGAGAAAGTTATGATCAAAATACCGATGACTGTGTGGAGACAAAAACATTTGCGTTTAAAGACAACTTTCCTTATTCAATTAGAACTCTTTTGAAAACTAAATTGGACGTGATTTTCAATCAATTTTATACTCCTAAAAATACCTAACGGCAAAATACATACTATACATCTCTCATATACGTATCATACTATAATATTCCATCAATTTTTGCAAAATCATATATTATGAGAAGATTTTAAAGGCGAAGTTCAAAAACCCATCAATTGGAGATGAAATCTGTGATTTGTGAGCAAATAAGAGAAAGAATTATTGAAAATTTATAAAGATTACTTTGAAGAAATTCAAGAATGTCAAAATTCATCTTCCTTCATTCATTAATTCACAATTTCGGATCATGTTTGATACATTTAACATGATTTCTTATAATTCCAATATGATATGCTAGTTTTATACATAGCTGAATGAAATGAACCTTGTTATGATATTTTTAGTTTTTAATTAATTATTTTGACTATAATTTGGTTTGATTTGCGGACATTTATTATTGTTCTTTTCAATTGTTTGATCACCAATTGAATTGTTAGTAGATTTTATTGTTATCAAGAGAGACAATATGGTTTAAGCACAATATAATAAATATTGTAAGGTTCGATAGATGATAAAGATGTACTTCTATACTTTATATGGTTTCAATAAGCATTCTAACACTTGTTTATGTATTTAGAGTGATGCTACAAGTACATAACTTTCTACATAATGGTCCACATAATTACATATGGCATTCATTCAAACCTTTAATTCAAATCTGACATTTACACATCAACGACATGATGATTGCCACATCACATTATGTCAATCATTGTGTACATTTATTATGTACACTTATCATTTTCCATGTATTTATCATGTTTGCATCTTTTATCGAGAGATAGAAGGGTAACAAGAGAGAAATTGATTTGATCGCTATCGAGTGAGACTTTCAATTAAATTAGGAATATCGACAGATATGAATGATTTCAAATTGTCACTTTAATTGTTACACTAAAAATGGAATAACAAGGGTGAATCGATATTTTAGCAATGCATCTCATTTACTTGCTTTCACTAGTTTAATTGATAATTTGTGGATTAGTATAGAAAAATCACAACAACTTGTTTGCTATTCAATTAAATTTGCAATTAATTTTAATTCGGTCAAACACATATTCTTTGTGGGTTCGACCATCTATTCATCATTATATTATTTTATCACGATCTCGTGCACTTACAAATTATCAAAGGGTCAAGTATGATATACTTCAATTGAAAAACAATTAGGGTAGCCACGATCTACCAAATGCAATAACTTCACACATTTCACGAATAAATGAAAGAGAAGAAATCATTTCGTGCATCACATGTCACATTGTTCGTGAATCCAATAAAGCACATTGAGTAGTCAAAGCGAGATATAACATTCAAATTAAGACATCAAAATTTTGACACGTAACATATCACCGATGACAACTAAACTAAAGAAAGAGTTTACAAAATCAGTGGTATAGAGAGAAAATCCTATTTGCTGAAAAAGTCTATAGCCTTTACTCAATCATATTTATGTTCCGCACCTTCAGTGGCGGACCCAACACAAAAGTTCAGTCCGGGCGGACATTGACC